AATGCATGCCATTTTAGTCTATGATAACCTTTTAAAAGCATTTCACATGTTTTCATTCCTTGTATTCAAATTAAAATATACATTGTCTGTCTCTCCACCAAATGAAGTTAAATTATTGTTTTTATTCACCAAAACAAAAAAAACAGATGCAACACTATGAAATTAGACATTAAAAAAATATATACTTTATCAATAAATTTAAAAAGGAACACAGTATATATATATTTAACATATATTTTTCATTTTAGATTTAATGGAGAAAAAAAAAAAAAAAAAAAAAAACAGAACAACTTTGAAAACAAGAACTGGTGACTCCAGGAGTTACTTGAAACCAGGCAAAGCTGGTTAATCTTACAAGAAATAAATCATATATTAATGCAAACAATTTTGTTTATTCAGAAAGGCAACAGATCAAATATTCATGGCAACAATTGCCTGACACTGTGAGGTCCTAGTTCAAAAACACTGAAAGAATTTTACTTAATTTTTTTCTTGATTCACTATATGACCCAGATCAGTGAATAATCCACATCAACAACAGTGACAGATAAACCATTGTAATTATGAAACACCAAAGGAGAGATCATGATATTTATATCTATAACGAGACACTAAGCCAAATCAATGTCTTCATCAGAGGTTGAAAACTTACAGCTTCTGTAAGCCTTATAAAAAGAAGTCTTGAAAGGTTCTTGGCATGAACTAGATTAATCGAATTGTTTATCAACCTTTTGCAGGTTATTTAAAGCCAGAAAATATTGTCAGATTGTAAGAATTTTCTGGCGATAATAATGACTTTGCTGATATAAGCCCTACTAGTTAACCCATAGCTGGGGGAAAGAAGAGGTGTAATTATACCTTTCCAAACAGTATTTGCACATATGTGAACATAATGAACTCAATTGATTTCTAATTCCAAGTTGTTATCCATTACACACACCCAAGCCTAAAGCACCTGGCATTACCAGCATGAGCAAGAAGTGTTAAAAAACACATTGATGTTTGTTCATTTAAAAAAAGTAGATCAGGCCAAAAACTTTTCATTACCCCCTCATACTAATTTACAACATTTGGCAAAAGTTAACAAGCTAGTTTTACTAGTTCAATCTTCACTTAATACTAAGTTGCACTAAAGTATACAGGGCACATGCCAAAGTCAAAATAAGCTCTTGTTAGTCTTGTAATCTTGTACCAGGTTATGATTAGTAGATACTAATTTACAATAGTAAGGTAGGAACTAATTAATCATCCTTAGCAGATAGGCATATTCTGATGTAAGTGGACAGCCATCAACAATACAAATCAAGATGCTTAGAAACTTTACCTAGTTTGTATGGAGTCTTCAAGATTCTGTTAAATTTATTAGTCATATATAACTTCTGTTTTGGGAAAGTAATTGTAATGACTAATGTATGATCCTAAGTACTAATCATATGTGGTCGTTAAGAATAAATTTGAAGTACTCCTACATGCTTTCGTTTTAGCATAGCAGTGAGAGCGTACACAATGGATTAAAAAAATATTCCCCTCTATGAAAACACAAGAGTTGAATATTACACAGTAAAGGAATTTTGGAACTCAGTTGGTATGTTCTACCCAAATTGTCATATTCACCTAACATTGCACAAACCAATTATTACCGTTTTCGATTGCTGCAAAATGCTTTGATGGCGGAAAACTTTTTCTAATGAAAGTTATATTCAGGAGCTCATCAAAAACTTTTTGCATGGAAACCTGCAGAATTTTGCTCTAAAATTATGGCAAAAAGATATATAATTTTTTTTTTTTTTTTTTTATATATATATAAAGAATTTCAGGAAAATAAAAAACTATGACAGCGGAAAAAGATACATATATCGTATCAAAGAGCTGCCTGATAAGTGGCAACAAGTCATTACAAATAATCATGAATATATAATTGAGTAAAATGTAGTTGTAGTTTATTTTTTGAAGTTGATAACCAAAAATTATTTATGATAATAAGAAAAAGTATACTGAAAAAAAGCAAAAAATACTTTATCTCTGATATTGCTTAGTAAGAGATATTCCAAATACTAAGAGACTGCACACAGACTGTCTGGGCACTGTTGCCATCCATAAATATCATTATCCAATGCCTGGCAGACTAAATGGAAAGGGGAAAATGTTACTAATGTCAAAGAGTTAAAACTGGAATATCAATTACAATATGATTGATAACACAGGAAATGAAAACTCTGGAAAAGATTATCTGATAGATACCAAGGTCAAGAACTGAAAAGAAATCCCAGAAGGAAACCCATCTTTCGCAGCATTGTAAATATCCCATTCAAAGAAAACCAATTGTTTACAAGAGAAAATTCCTTAACAATATAAAAAAGAATTTCTTCAGATGTTTTGATTATGCAAAAGAGATTGCCATGTGAATAGAAAAGGTCAGAAAACTCACTTACCTTCAACGGGGTGAGATATGTAGTGGCTGTCCAAATCATCTCTGCGTGTGTCATGCCGGTCTTCAGGCCTGGAATATGAAGGAGGGACATAATGAGGCGGTCGAAGAACAGGGACAGCACCGGGCAACTGATGACCACGGACACCCATCTTTTCAAGATCAGAAAAAAAAAGTTGAAACTACCGTAATCCGAAGAGTGAAAAGCTATTGAAAAAAATTTCACAAGAAGATCTGTCGATGTGTTTAACTCCCAGCTTTTATGGAAATGAAGCTAAATTTATACAACAAAAAGAAAACAAACATGACAGTCCATAAAGAAAGTAGAAAAACAGGTGGTTAACCAAAGCAGAAATCCTATGCTTAGTGGTGGGGTCATTGTGCAGAGGCAATACTGGAAAAAGAGGAACGGGTATTTATGCTTCAGGTTTGGGTGCGGCCAAAAAAATATACAGGTTTCATTACACTAATTGCACAAAGATTGCAATCAAGTAGAACAATCCTACGCACAGTGAAAAGCATTTCAAGGAAAAATAAAATGCTAGGAGATTAATTTTGTATCTTCATAATTGATTTTGATCTTTATTACCAACAAATAAAGGGTAAACACCAGATCAACAGATTCAAAATGATGCAATATTGATCTTTATACAAATTATGATTCTTTCAAGTCAGAAAAAGAATGGGGGAGAGGGATGACATTCAGAAGTACGACAAGAAAATGACAAGACTGCATGAGGAGGCAAGAAAATGACAAGAACTAAAGTCTATGGGTTGCCTGCGACAGAGCAATAGTTGGAAAGCCTTCCATGCAAGCAATACCAAAATGAGTGCCAAGCCTTCCATGCAAGCAATACCAAAATGAGTGCCAAGCCTTCCATGCAAGCAATACCAAAATGAGTGCCAAGCCTTCCATGCAAGCAATACCAAAATGAGTGCCAAGCCTTCCATGCAAGCAATACCAAAATGAGTGCCAAGCCTTCCATGCAAGCAATACCAAAATGAGTGCCAAGCCTTCCATGCAAGCAATACCAAAATGAGTGCCAAGCCTTCCATGCAAGCAATACCAAAATGAGTGCCAAGCCTTCCATGCAAGCAATACCAAAATGAGTGCCAAGCCTTCCATGCAAGCAATACCAAAATGAGTGCCAAGCCTTCCATGCAAGCAATACCAAAATGAGTGCCAAGCCTTCCATGCAAGCAATACCAAAATGAGTGCCAAGCCTTCCATGCAAGCAATACCAAAATGAGTGCCAAGCCTTCCATGCAAGCAATACCAAAATGAGTGACAAGCCTTCCAGGCAAGCAATACCAAAATGAGTGACAAGCCTTCCAGGCAAGCAATACCAAAATGAGAGCCAAGTCTTTCATGCAAACAATGTCAAAACACGCTATAGGTGAACACGGTATCAACTGAAATAGGTAAGCACCAACTTCTGTTCAGGTGAGGGAGAGATGATTCAAATAACATAATATTATTCAATATTATAGTTTCTGTTTGAATTTCTGGGATGAGGTATTTTGGGGTTTTTTTTTTTTTATTCTTACACTATATTCATAACTGAACATTACTAAAAATAATAACTAGATACAGTCTACTCCCATAGATTAAATAAAGGGTTTAGTTCAGAATTCACTGGTTATCCTGATCGATATACACCTAATGAATGCCAGAGAGCACAACAACTGAAACATTGTGATAAGAATAAAAATGATGACAATAGTCAGATTAAAAATAGTGTAAATAATATGTCATCAAAAGCATTTTAATATTTTACAAAATTTTACTCCATGGCTTCTTTTATGACTATATCAAATGACTATAACTCCACTTGTTTGGGTTAATCCTAAAATAGAAAAATATATACTGTATACCCCCCCCCCGTATAAGGTGACCTTTAGATAAAACAAAGTCAAAAAATATAGCAAATTTTCATGAATTTATCCTATATTCATAGTACAAGACAACTGCTTATTGATTATCTAAAGATGTTATAGAAAATATTACTTTATCCTTAGAAATTCAAAATAAACAATAAAAAAAAAAATTCTATATCTTGTTTTTCCTACACACATCCCCTAAAAGGGAAACCATTGTTTTGTTTACATTTCATCACATGATATTTTGCGAATACTGATTCTTCTTCCTCTTCTTTTCCTATATCTTAACAGTTACAAACAGCCTGGTGTACTAATGGCCATTTACTTATACTTTGACAATCACAAAATATTGCTAATAACAGTACGATAATGTACAAAAATACTACAATACACTTTCAAAAATTTTTTTCTTTATTCACAATCATAACTCAATGTTTAAATTGCCTTAGCTGAGCTTGCATGGATACAAGTTGATTTCATTGATATGGAATTATTCTTTGAATAGTCAATTTATTTTGAAGTTATGACAGTAATATATAATATAGAAATGATTTTATTACTTTTATTATCAGTTTACTTGATAATGTGAATCTTTTCATGTATTTTATTGGTTATCTCATCGAGGCCAAGATTAGGTTACTGACAAACATCACTCAGAATTTAAGGCTTCTTTTTTTAGAATAAGACAACAATTTTTAAGGGTTGCTTTTTAAAGGTCATCTTTTACGCAGAATTATTCAGTAATTAAATGAGAAATAATTCCAGACTCAACAGGAGTTATGTCCCTTAGTGAATTTCCACGTATTAGAAAGTGTCTCATTTTTTATCTTGTCTTTTTGGGAACATGGTGAACTGAACTACCACACAGTCAAGCATGTAATTTCAATCCTCACTGAATCCAATTAAATCAACATTAATCTTTAAGTATTCTTCCATTAATCTCCATATTCTTAATTTCATTCTGTTATGTTGATTACTTCTATATTGTTATCATTTCAATTTTTACATTACTAATCATATTAATCAGACACACTTTAGAAGTAATATTATTCGACCATGAGGGGCCATTTTCACATTACACATAGGCTACACTTTGAGTTAAGACACATTTTACCATTAGGATTAGTTCACATCTCATAACACATTGACAAGGTCATAACACCAGTATATATCATCAGTGTCATTCATTTAAATCTTTTCTTCCAAATGTTATAATGGTGGATACAAATATTGAGATTCTGAAAAGTTTAAGGAATTATTTTAGACCAAGCCTCAAAACCACTAAAGGTACTTTAAGAAATCAAATAGTGGAGGGAAATGAAATAAGGGGATGGTGTGTGATTTTATCTCAGTCAAGTGTTTCATGACCAGCAAAATGTTCTGTGAAATGGTCTTTTCAAAGTGGCCACCCACTTGACCAAAAAGGAATAAAATAATAAATAAATGAAAACTTTTGAGATCAAGTGACAACAAACCAGACATGGAGTACTTCCAGTCACAGGTCTATATGAACAGTCACAGTTAGGATTGAAGGGAGTTTTTAACTGCCCATTAACAGGAAGTTCCAACACCACCAACTAGAGTTGTCACTCATGCATCAAGATGTCGTGATGGGCGGAAAGTTAGTAGGGAAGGTGTTTCTGGTTGAGGAGAAAACTGATCTGTTAGTCATAAGTGCCAAAAATTATTTCTTCAGTTTATTTGCAAAAAATTAAAAAAATAAAAAAATTCTTTTGATCATGCCCTGACAATGATAATTATTACCAAAAAGCAAATCCACACACATTGAATTCTAGTGAAGCAAAAACAAAAAAAATTTCATCAAATTTTGTTACATACACAACAAACCCACAAGACACTCATGATCTTAAATGGGTGTGGCAGTAAGAGTGTGACTAAGAATATCAAAAACAGAAAAATAAGTCTCATAAATATACAAAAGTCACTCCACGCCCAATCATCACATATCTGTTTTATGTATAGTATGGTGACATTAGGATTTAGATCCCATGAAACCACATCTGCTTATATATGTTGCCATGTTATTGGGATCCAACTCCGATTTTCCAACCAGCCATTCTGTTTATACACCCAGTTAACTACCTACTCGAACCATGCAAATGAATCTCTAAAATAAACACTTACATATATTGAAAACAACATTTGAGCTTTAATTTTTATTTTCACCTTTCTTTGTTTTCAGTGGGCCTTTCCCAGAGTTTTTTTGTGCATACCAACACATCTGAGGATAGAGATATAATATGTGGGTTCAGGTATGTGGTTGATGAAAAGCTGGTGGAGGGCCCTATTGTATGTTTACAATCTGACTGTACTACCTAAAACTAATTTAAGGTGATTTAAAGATGGAGGACTTGTCTCTTGAAATAAGGTCAAGAAGTGAATGACAATGTTTACTATGATTTTAAATTTAAGGCAAGAATGTGTGCATAGGTTGGTGGTTATTGGTATGGAAAGTAAAATATATGGTATACTGAATTGAAATTCCAACAGAGGCCATTGAATTTGCTTTCACACAAATACTTGGAAATGTATGAATTCATTCCTTGCCTAGCTAGGGGTAAATAGCAAGGCAGATTAGGCTCTCTAACTTTGGTTGGAAACCATTGTAAGGAAAGGAAAACTTAATTCAAAAACAGCCTGAAGAGAGATATTCAGGCTATCTAGCCCAAAACACAGCTACGGATGTTACAGCTACACACAATAGTGCCACAATGACCCTAATGGGTTATGGGTTATGGGATAAATGACATGATCAAAATGTAAGGTAGATGAAAAATGAAACACCAGCACTCAAAACCTTGCAGATAAACCAGGATCATTAAAAGATATATGTACAAACCATAAGATATAGCAGTGCAGGGATTAAAAAAATGAACAGGTTTTTCAAATATCCAAAGCAGCACAGAGTAAGGAATCGGAGAGCAAAGTTCAGATTCCAGTCAGGTTCATTACATTCACTGATGTGCTTGGGAAAGATATGAATTCATTTCTTCTCCCTCCAATTAGAGGTTAAAGAGTAGGGCTGAAAAAATCCTTATTCTCAAAAATTTGTTAATGCAATATTCACTCACATGAAATGAGTTATTTTTACAAGCTAAAATGTTTTGGCTTTAAATAACCCACTAAGGGTTGATAAACCATAAAATATTAAAATATCAATCAAAATCATG